CATTAAAAAATCCTCAATAATAAAAATTAATATGTGGCTTCATATATATCATAACACATATGATATTGGACCCCCCACTTTCTGATGATTAATCAATGGTTCGGCCAATCTTTAATTATTAGTTAGGGACCCTTTTAGTTTTACTATATTTGTAAAAAATAATTACTTATTTTCCTTTCAAAAAATGCTACCAAAAACCAAGAAAATAAAAGACAAACCAAAAACAAATATGGTGCTTCTAAAGGGTAAACGTTATTTATTAGTTAAAGAATGGTAGTGGTTGCATTGCAACTTGTTGTCACTCTAGTTATTTAAAAAGAATGATGATTATCGTGACTCGTCATTCTGTTAAACTATTATTTATTTATTCCTTAGGAAACCACTTACATCGTCAATATTCTTTTCAAATGGGTGGGATTGATTGTTTTGTTTAATGATTTTGATATCAATCCAATTCTCAACCCACAGGAACCAGATACTCGAGCTAAAAAAAAATTAGCAGAGCTAGAGAAAGGTAAAGATTTCACAACAAAACGATTGAGTCTGATAAATTAATTCCATTTCATTTTATATCATATCATTTTTTCAATAGAAAATAATTTATCAAGAAAAAATGTTAAACGACCCAAAAAATCTGCTAGTACTGTTGTAATACTTTCCTGGACTCAAATTATTTTGAAAGAAGCACTGAAATTAGGGGGAACTTCCGCCTTTGATTTTATTAACCCGCTCGCCCAAAAGGATATAAATTGATGCAGGGTTGGCAAATTGACTGATCCATTGAAAGCTGATGGACTTTGGACTGGTCCATTGCCATGAATAAATTACTAAATATGGTAAAACGTTACATTAATGGAACCAATAGTTCACCAATGAACCACCAATGGACCATACATTTGCCAACCCTGAATTGATGATATTTTATCCATTGTATAATAAACATAAAGGTTAGTTTTTTTATCTATCTGTTTAATTTACTTGATATAGTTTCACAACTAAAATACCAGATAAAATTGCAGGGTTTTGGCTCTGCTGTTGGTAAGAACGAAGCCGTACGTAGGGGGTACGTTTCTTCAATATTGCTTGCTGCAGTATTGTCGGATCCAGGAACGTGGCTGGGAGCGGAAAGAGTGATTGAAGGTAAGTTTTCCGGTCCAAACTATTTTGAAAAAAGTGGCTTTGACAATAGTTTGGGCTTCTCAATATTTTCTATGAAAAAACTATATAAATCAATAATTTAAATAATTTAAAAGAATAATTTCGGCAATTTCAATTACTAATAGAGGTAGTTTCGATCAGGAACCTTAGTTGAAGGTGGTGAGATCGGAAGACGTGTTGATTATGCAATTCTGAAAGATAATGAATTAATATGTATTTCAGAAGTAAAAGAAAGTGACGTAAAAGAAGGAATTGCAATGAACATTATTCAACTCGATAGTTCATTAGAAGGTACACTCGCTAGACAAAAGTCGGGAGCATTTTTAAACAAAAATTGCGCAAAAACATACTTAATAATAATTAAATAGAAAACATTGTTTTGCAACTTAGGTTCACCAAATTATATATGCAAAATTTCACATCTTTAATGTTTTTATTAAACCAATGATTAAAAAAAGAAAATTTCGACCAAAATTTTTTTGACAAAACAGGATTCTTCAAAAAAAAATGATTGTTGAAAAATATAGTCATACCCAAAAATTTAAATATTATCAATATCTTGTTGGCCATCCATTATTTTCAATGACTGCTTCATCTCTCTTTGACATACTCTCAATCAATTTAATCAGGACATTATTTGTTAATTTAGGACGGCCACTTGGATTTTTTGTAACGAGATCTTTTCTATCAATGTAATTTTGAATAGTAAGAGTCACTGTTTTCCTATGAACACCAACAATTTTAGTTATTTTGTTGTTTGGTACATTATTTTTATATAGACCGATGATTTCACCACGTTGACTTTACATTTTGAGTTTAAAATTTTTCAAAGGAATTGTTCAAAAATTTATTAAAAATGATGTTTGTTTACAAAAAAATTCAAAACAACATAGATACTTATTCAAGACGCTTGTTATCACATGCCAAAAATTCGAGCTAGGTTATTAAATACGATTTTTGTTCAATTAAAATTTTTTTTATCAGAAAAATTTTCGGAAAAATTTTTTGGTCGGATTTTTTATTTTTTTAACTGTTATTTTCTTAGGCATAATAAAAAGTTTTAAATTTTGCATGCAAAATTTTGAGAACCTAGGCTACAAAATGATATAAGTTATCTGTGTTTGTATTGTGTGTGTTTTTGCGCAATTTTTGTTTAAAAATGCGCCCGACTTTTGTCTAGTGAGTGTATATATGAACAGGCTATGGTTTTTAAAATTGTATGAATATAATAACAACTCATGTTGGTACTACATTATAGAAAACAGTAGGAAACGTAAAATACTCATATTTTAATAATCACCAAAGAGTTTGAGTTAATCACCCGGATTTCAAAAGGTAAATGAGAGCTAAAAAAGAGGAATTTCATTAAGAACCTTGTAACGTTATACAAATTCTTATTAATAATACCATGAGAAGAATAGATAGAATAAAACTTCTAGTTTCAAGATTTTTTCATACCATCGATCATTACGGTATTTAGTACTTCCATCTATGGTAATATCCCTGACTGAATTACAAGTGATGCTATTGCAACTTTATGCTTTATCAAGTTTACATAAGCAATCAATTAATCTGCACCATAGATATATTTTTTCAATTAAAAACCTTAAATCAAATTCGCTTTATTTGGTGTTTGCGATTTGTTATTTCACAATATCTTGGATTATTATTATGTAATTATCAGTATTAATGAATAAGATTTTCCCGCACGTGTTAGTTTTGTATTTAATTGATTGAAGATAGAAATCGATAAAAGTGAATATTGGCTTCGAAAAATACTAAGATGAAAAGTGATCACTCGTAGTGAATAATAAATTATTAATATGTTAATATTTTCATATGAATCTATCATATGAATGAAATTTTTTTCGGTTTATATGAAATCTTCACATACGAAATAAGCAAGCATTATAAATACAAGCTCGATTCGGTAGAAAGATTATTATTATTTGCAATTATGAAATTTATTCTCTTCTTCGCCTTCTTCACCATTGCCATTGGCATTACCTCTGGGCTACCATTAAACGAAACGAAAGTTTCCAAGAGAGGTGAATAATATATATTTACTGTTTTTTGGAAATAACAGAATACTTGGTGTTGCTATTCTCTGTTCTATATAATAACTTATGTGTAAATAATGCATATGTAGATGATGGCCATAACTTTCATATACAAAACAATGTCTCAGGGTGGGCTACAGTAATAAGTGTGGAGCTCTCAGGATATACAGCTGATGGAACTCGTAAGGATCTGGGGATTACAAGTGCATTTAGTGATAGCTCGGCTAATAAATTTATAGGTGCTGATATAGTCAGATTCGATGCTGATTATATACTCAGTCCTAGCCCAACTGAAGATAAATGGCGTACATACGACAACAATCAAAATTATTGCATTGAAATTGATGGTAGTGGATTTAAATGGCATGTAAATCCTTGCTGATAAACCAAATCTATATACACGTAGAAATATAGCAAATTTATTCTTATTTTTCTTATTTAGTATTTTTATATTTATTTTTATATATTTATTATATTAATTAGTAATTTAATATACTAGCAAAATTGATAATAAGTTATTATATATGTATTATATATGAAGCCTTTTTGGTGACCACAGATCAGACCTCAGGTCAATCCTTTTTGGTTTGAGGCTGGTTTTTTTTAGTGGTTTGAATATTTTTGTATACAATCCATATAATCATAATAATAATAATTTCACTAATATATATATTAGTGTATACTATACCTTCGAAATTATTCTCACCTCGCTAAACAATACTTGCTAACAGAGAAAAAATATACACGGGATTAGCATGAAAACTAGCCCTTTTATTTCTTCCCATCGAAAGATTTTTTTTATTACCTCAAGATCATTTTTACAGTTAAAGTTATATTAATTTATGAACATATAGATACAAGAAGATGAATAGAAATGAAGTTAAGAAAAATACAACGTTATTTGCATGTTTTAAAGGTTCAATCAATTAGTTCCCTTATTTTCGAGAACTCTTGGCGATGTAGTATCTTGTTCTAATAGACATTCTAATTGGAAAAATCGTTCCGCATTCTTTTTAACGTGAACAAATGGTCTTTAATTCCATAGAATTTTAGAATTAAATAAATTACACATTTAGAATAATTCTTGTTGATACTTTGGGATAAGTTTTATGAGTTAACTAGAGTAACGTTTTATGGTAGTGACTTCGTCACTGACGTTCTTGTTATTTATTGTTTTAAAGTTTCTATTCAAATAAAGGGTATTATTTGAATTAGATGTAATTACTTTTGAATATCCAAGTGACATTGAATGGTCGGTTGTTTGAATTACAAATAATTAAGATATGCATTATTACCTACAAGAAAATTTCAGGCCTTTGGCAAAGTTGAATGATTTTTTTGTTGTGATATTGAAAGATGATGTGATGAAGGTTTGCTGTACCACGATTATAAAAGATTTCTTGTTCATTATTTTCTTTGGTTTATAATTTTGTTGTGTAGTAAGTAGATCTTATTGTGTGTATATATACACTCGCTCATAAATATAATAAGGACACTTGCAGATCACCGGAAATAATTGAATAAACATGAAAAAAAATAAAAATTTTATTTTCCTAACCACATTTGCTTATTAAGTAAAAATTCATCTTCATATCAAATAGTATAATATACGGAAGTTTCGCCTCATATAAACAACAACTTGTTGTTTTACGAACCTTAAAAAATAAAAATGATTTTTTCGGAATTTTCAAAAAAAATAACTCCACAATGGCAAGTTCTAACGACCTTTGTGGTATAAGTAAAAAATGCGTCTTATGTTTATATCCAAAATTCTAGATTATTTGGTAAATTAATTGCCAAGATGTCATATCAAATATAAAAGATCTTTTAAAATAATTCATTTAAAGGTAAACTTCAATCCATTTTATTTTTTTTAAAGAGAATTGAAAATGTCCAAAGCTACTCAATTATCTGAATTCGAGCGCGGAGAAATTTTTGGCTTAAAAAAGGCCGATTTTTCTTATAGAGAAATGGTTCGTATATTAAATGGATCGAAAAGTGCAGTTGAAAAGACTATTAATGATTATTTTTCAAAAAATAAAACAACTCCAGCTCTTAGACCTGGCAAGATTTAAAAAGAAGACTTAGAGTGAGAAACCCAAAACCAAAAAATAAAACAGAACTATTCAATTTATTAAAAGAGGGATGGTTTAATATTATCCTGGGGAGAATTAATAGATTAATAAACAGTATGCCACAAAGAGTGGATGCTGTTTTAAAAAATAAAGGAAACCCGACAAGATATTGATTTTTTTTTAATAAAATACAATCAATTTAAAACAGTTTCATATATTTTTTGTTGACCTTTATGTTTCAAATTGGTGAGCAGTTTGAGGTTGAATCGTTTTATAAAATTTTTTACGCTTTATTTTTTTTCTCATTAATTAATTTAACAAATGCTCTAGAATTTTGGATATAACTAGGTTTAAACATAAGATGAATTTTTTACTTATACCACAAAGGTCATTAGAACCTGTCATTGTGGTCAATTTTCGAGTTAAAGATTTTTTTGAAAATTTCGAAAAATTCATTTTTATTTTTTAAGGTTCGTAAAACAACAAGTTGTTGTTTACATGCGGCGAAACTTTAGTATATTGTACTATTTGATATGAAGATGAATTTTTACTTTATAAGCAAATGTGGTTAGGATAATAAAAAATTTTTTTCATGTTTATTCAATTATTTCCGATGATCTGCAAGTGTCATTATTATATTTATGACCAGCGAGTGTATATATATATACATCACTCCTGGACAAAGGTATCCTGACACCTATTATTAATAATCGTGCAAAATTCATATAATAGCTATACATAAAATTTTATCAGAAGCTTAAGTTTTGATGAATATGCATGTAAGTTTAGAATGTCTAGAAAAATTTTAATTAAAAACCCCCGAAACTCGACGAAAACGGTGATAATCATCTATTACTATTACTATTGTTTATTTTAATTATTGATTTTCCAAAAAAATTTGCATTCATATCATATTCTTGATAATTTAAGCTATATGTAAATTGATAGGGTTTGAATTAAAAATAAACAATGGATGATCATCACCGCTTTCGTCGAGCTTCGGGGTTTTTAATGAATTTTTCTATATAGACGTCAAATTCACATGCAAACATAAAAATTTATGTGATGTTTTACATGTTTAATAAAAATAAGTTCCCGGATATTTTTATTCGGGGAGCACCAGAGTCATCATCATCAACCAAATAGAAGATTAGAAATTTTATTTTATTGAAAACTTTTCAACATTCCAAAAGCATTTCCAGATAGAAAACTTCTCCTGAATGGGTTAGCCAATTATTAATAAAATTAATAATTGATGTAATTACGTTTAAAAATTTATATTTTATCAAAATGCACTAAACAAACTTTTGGCTTAGAAGTATGCAAACAATAATAAATAAGTTGATCAATTTATTGTAAAAATGCGGAGTGAAACAATTCTGATACATTAATATGGTTTATTAACTAATATTCATGCTTTAAAAAAAAAATTCAATATCGATACTATGATGGCAATTTTATGTATGAACCAACGATAATTATTCGCTTGTTCCAGAATTCATTTGCTTTGGGGTTCCAGTAATTCATTTAGAGTAGTTTTAGAGACCTTTTGAATAAAAGAAAAAAAAAGAGATAGGCGCAACATATAGTTTTATGTGGAAAAAATAAAAGAGTTAGATTGCAATTATATTTAACCCAAATGTAATAATAAAACCAGATGTTTTGGACCTCTAATGTACAATATATTAAATAATAATCTATTGGTATACATTATTACGTATTTAGACTACAACCTTATAGGCAAACGGGTTAATTATTCATTACTTTGTACTAAAACCATAATATCTGAAGAATACAAAGTTGGAATCTCAAATTTATTGTCACTTCTTGAATCATCACGTAATTAATTATATTATGATAACAACTGATCTCTGGATCACAAAATAAAGATAGTTATATAGGAATAACTGGGAATTAGTTATCTAAAGAACTTGATTTTGAAATATACTAGAATAAAATAGTTGATTAATATTAAATAGTCGACTAAGATAATAGACTATTTAGTCAACTAAAAAAATTTGACCAACTAATAGTTGAATAGGGATTTTTTGACCGATTCCAATCTCTAATGTTATGGTTGTCAAAAGTATGCTTCAATAAGCGAAGATTATTGTGCTGTTCAAATCCTTTCTTTATAATCCGATTTTGCTTCTCGGTGTTCTTTGATACAAATGATTATGGACATAAAGTAATTTTCTTCCCTAAGTTTCAATTGAAATTGAATATTTTGGGGCAGCAAAACATAATAATAAGAAAAAATTGTGATTACTCTCTTACGGGTTTAGAAAAACCATCACAGAATCAATATCTTTAAAGCACATCGGAAAGCATGTAAAGTGCTCTTGGCGATTCATTAATGCATACGATAAAGGATTGACTGGACCTCGGCCTTTATGTACAGTTAAAATATATAATTACACTGAAAACTTTGAATTAAAAATATATTATTTTATGATGGATGTTGATAACTTTGCATAATTACTATATTGATGAAATTCATCTTTAGAAGTTATGCATCATATAAATTTTAATGGGATTTCAACATTATCATAAACATTTTTTTAAATAAAATACAATCACTTGTTATTTATCCTAAAAAATAAAATTAACTTTTGAGAATTATCATGATATGATATTGTTTGCTTTCAAATTATCATAGAAATTATTTGGAAAGAAAAGATTACATAGAAGATGAAGAAAAAGTTATCACGTCCATTTCTGCATCCATCCTATTAGAAAATGTGATACATACAGTGTGTGTTTTTCAAAAACAAAACTAAATTAATTTGAAAGCTTATCAAATTCAATAAGAAATTCTAGCACCGTTTTTTCCTTGACCGTTTCCTGAGAAATCCTTCAACCATAAATCTCTTCAATTCGTCAACATTCCTTGGCATCTTTTTTTCGTCGTTATTTTTTATGATATACCACATATTTTTGATGGGATTAAGGTCAGGACTGTTGGATAGCCCAGTCTATTACACAAATTCTTTTTTTCAGAACTGAAGGTTTTTGTAACGCGTAATATGTGCTTTGGATCATTCATTATCCTGTTGCAAACGCCATGTAATAAACATATATACAAGCATTTATATTATCATTCAAGCAAGATACCCAATCATTTTTTTGTCATGTGAAATATTTGTTTTCATTTTAAAATAAATTTACATTTTGACATCCTTTTTTTGAAACACACTCTACATGACAGAAATAAATAGATATTATCCCGATTTCTCAAATTATTTAATGGTTTATATTTGTAAGATCTTTCAGATACCTAATCACATTCTTTACAAGTTTCTGAGAC